CTCAATCATCACCCCCAAACTCAAACCACATGTTGTATCTCAGAGTGTCCAGGCCGAGAGAACGAAAAAGTATACGGACAGTATGAGGCTCAGCGCCGCGGCCTTGGTCTGAGGTAGACTTAGGGCTCCGAAGGTACGTCTCGATTTGTTTAAGGTCATATACGTACGGAGCTCGGGATCTAGCTCGCGTTTGAGACTTGGGACGAGTTCGACTTCCAGCGATTTCAGGTCAAGCGGGAGCCCGATCTCCTACATGACACCGTGGCGATAGCAGGATTCAGGAAGTCGGCGTCACTGGGGGAGGAGGGGCGGTGGCCAGAAAGTGAGTCTGGTCGAGAATGCAATGTCACCACACTGCTGGAGGGACAAGCTTCTCAAAAGCCGTCACACAGACATAATTACATACACAGAGACAGACAGACGGACAGACAGATAAATTTCATATATGATATGTATGTATATATAGAGAGAGAGGGAGACACGGACACACACGAATACACACGTACACAGACAAACCTACCTAAACACCTTCGCACCCGCTGCTCAGAGAATCTGATCCCCCACCAACGCCCAAAAACGTGCACCTCGAGCTTTGTGAGGTAATGGCGCAGCCTGTGGACCCCGTGATTCTCAGAGATTTGGGCATCGACGGAGATCCAGCTACCTGTTCGAGCTTGGGCGTTGAGGGGTTGTAGGGGTCTCGATTCTCGATGCGACTATAGTAAAGAGATGTATTGCCTGTAGATATTTACAGCAATGCTTGTCGGGGTTTGAAATTAAGCGGGTCTTTACGAAGAGCTTCTGGTCAAAAGCTTAGGCTTCAGCTTGAACTTTCGGCTTGGGCCGAGGTTGGGACTGTTTGGCCTCCAAGCAATCCCTCAACCAATCCACATGGGAGAGTCCGAAAATTAGACGTACCTTATTTTGGGGTCCTTGTAAAACGATCCTACTATTTAAGGGTACTATAATGGGTTCCCCTATTTTCGGAAATTCCCACATCGAAACAGAGTATGGGCCGCACACTTTCGGCCCGCAAACGTCGCTTGCGCGTTAAGATTGCAGCTTGCACGAGTGAGCATGGCTGACCCTACCAATGAGGTTCAAAATAGCGCCTGCCTCAGATTTTGTTCGCCGGGTGCTGTTTGCTCGGTCCAGAGAGTGTTGGCCCGTTGGCTTCAGACAGTGCCGGAACTGACAGAGTTGAACAGCGTCATATGTTCAAGACCAAGGCTGTGCAACAAGCGATAATTCTGATATTGCACTCTTTCTTTCTCGCGCACGTGTGAGGGCAGGGGGGGGAACTCTCCCCGTCAATGCAAACATCACGCTCGATTGCAGGTCATGACAACGGCAGCCGTGTCAACCTGCTGAAGGCTTGCATGCGTAGTTGACAAAGACTCGCAGCCTGAGGCCCAGGCTACAAGTTTTTGCCTATTCGGATTTGGGTTGTATGGCTTGTGGGGTTGAGTGCAAAGCCTGCAGCAGCAAGCCTCTTGTATCCGGTTTAAGTTTCGCACCACCTGTTGGTCCCGTCAGACAGTTTGGTTGTCCTTGGATAAAACTAGATAATGCTGCCAGGCGAGTCGCCTTTACAGAAGGGGAGTTCCCGCAGCCAAAACCCTGAACACAGCGACTCGCATGCAGAGTTTGGGATGGAGATACCATAAAGCCATAAAGGATCAGGTTGGTAAATCGGAGGGTGTAGAAAAGCTGGGTCGTGGGATGCACTCACTCATGGACCCAGCCTTAGGGTCAGCATCCCCAGCCAGGACATGCCAACGCCGTTGCCAGGATACATGTGTGAGTTTCCGAGAAATAGGGGGTACCTTATTTTGGGGGTCCTCATAATAGGGATCCTACTATCTAGAATGCTATAATAGGGTCCCCTATTTTCGGAAACTCCCATGTACTGGCAGGAGGTTAGCTCATCAAGTGGCTCCTTGTGCACAGCTGTCCCCCCTGGCCAAGGCCCCCGAAAAGACATCTTTGCAGAACGCTCGAGGGCAAACAAGCTTGCCAACTGCGAGCCATCTGCCGCAATAACTGTGCCCGAATCCTCAGAACTTGAACTAGACACCCCGGCCACCACCAAACCTCGAAGGGGTCTGAAACCTTACGTACTGTTTATATACTTATTTATGTACAACATAGTTCAGAAGCAACTGCATATAGACATTGATATATAAATATGCGCATGATATTGCCATTTTCGGAGGCGCCGAAGCCCGGCCTGAAGGCTTATCCTGCCTGGAGTTTAAGGGAAGTTTAGGATTTAGGGCTGAGCTGAGAGAGGGCTGGACCTGCAGGGTTGGAATGCTTGCAGTTGAATGGAAACTCCTGGATTTATGGAGGCTTGGGGGGGTTCGGATCTGCGCCGACAAGTTGAGAGGCTGTGTGAGTGGGGGTTTCGAGATCCGAAGGTTTAGGGTTACCCGAAACCCTAAACCGTGCTAGGGTTCGGAGTTTGAGGGCCGAAATATCAACAACACTCTCTCTTTGCGTGCGTACATCTAAACGCATGGATGGCTTTTACTGCTCCATGACTGCTGTTTTGACAATTACATGGAAGCTGCTCATACATGCGGCACTTTATACTTTGTTCAGCCGTTAGTGCTGTTTGGGCCTAGCGGCTTAGGATGCGGAGTTGCAGGCAGACCCCTCAGCAAGATGCGAATTTCCAGAGGGCGCGGTGTTACGCTTTATGAGCTTGAGACTCCCTTCATCAATGCCATGACATTCTGATTTTACCATGTCCCCGACACGCCGATCCACTTGAGCACCGAAGCATTTGCCGGCATTCGAGAACATGAGATCCGAACAACGGAATCCAGATTACATTTCCAAATAACGCAGCCAAGAGGCAATACTCTCTTATGGCAGGGTTTAGGGGCGATCCAGTCACCTAAGCAGGAGACCAGCAGCCCCTTACTCGGGTAAATGAAGCCCTGAGGTCAAGCTGATGTTGCAACCCCTGCCCCAGACCTTGATAGTGACTGTCGATGCAGGAGTGGGATGCCCTGCTGACCCAAGCGACAGCTCAGCTGAAAGAGGCGGACGCTAGAAGCTAGCAGGTATCCGAAACCCAAACCCCTAAACCCCACTAAGCTTCGGCCTCTAAACCGAACTCTTAGAGGCCTTTTTGTGACTGTGGCTTGTAGTTCTGACAGGTTTCAGAGGGCTCGTTCCTTGGGGCTTTGCCGTTGAAGTTTAGTTGTTCAAGATCGGGCTTGCAAGTTTCTGTGAACCAGCAGCCCTAAGCCTCTCAATGATGCTCACCTGGAGCATCTGAGACGGTGAGAGACTTCACTCTGGTTCGCGGCCGGTTAGCGACGACATTGCTGCAGTTCGGTTCTTATGGAAACCGACAAGCGGACATGCTCAGCGTGACAGGGCCAGACTCGGTTTAGCACTTTTCCATGGCAATGGAAAATGGTATCCTAAACCCTAAACCCCCTAAACCCTAAACCGAGGGATTTGTGGTTTGGCGGGCTGCCGGCTCTGAGCTCAGAATGATCGTTTCGCGGCAGCTCCGGATGTAAGCAATCAGGATCAGTTACCAAACATCACAAATATCCAAACACAGAGACTAGATGTCTGGCAGGCTCTGCGGCCGCCAGCGCCGTTGGCAGATTCTGCCAAGTTGATTGCAGAGATCTCAGCTTCTCGAGTGTGCCCTCGCTTGAAGATGACTGTTCATGATTCGCGACCACGTTTGCTGTGCGAGTGGCGAGTAGCTCGCGCAGTCTGCTGCTTCAGTCGGTCGTTGAATGCTCAGCAATATGTTGTTTTACTCATGCCAGATCAGTATTTCTGTCAAGTTAACATGTCGGCAGCGGCTCAGTTTGCCCTGGTGAACGAGAGCATCAAAGTTCAAGCACGATGCAATCCTCTTCATCAGATATCGGTAGATGCGGTGCAGTGCAGACAAGGCCACTTTCCCAGCTCTGAAAATCTCAGTGAGGAGCCCAGAAAACAGCGCCAAACTTGACTCGAGTTAAAGGAAGCCTGACCGGTGCCGTCGGACATGACGATTTGGCAGGGTCTTGAGCTCCTGTAGGTACCCCCCATGGGTGGAGATCTGGCTTATCACTAGCCCGAGCCAATGACGATTCTGATTTGCAGGTGTCAAACCCATGTCGATAAGAGGATATTTAGACATACTAGGACCAAAATCCTTTAAAACGAAGCTACCGTGTAGCAGGTTAGGTAGGGTATTCCCTCTGCCTACGGCCCCCACCGGTCAGTTGACAACCAATGCGTGCTCTCAGCTGCAGCAAAATTTCTGCAGCCGTAGAGTTGAATTGGCACGGCATTTCCATCATGCCAACTGCGGCATGGCCATTGCTAGCTCCACGGGTGCACGTCTCGAAAGTCGGAGAGTTTTTAGCAGATCTTGAAATGAACCCCGATAGAGCATTCTTGCACTCGCATGCTGCAACTTCGAGACATGCGTGCGGCCCGTATGCGGCATCTTGGGTGCATTTCCTCGCAGTATCTGCTTCTATTCGTCAGATGTAGAAAACTACTCATGGAGCAGGGTGTGTTGATACCTGGCAACAGCGGAAGGTGCATCTTTGCCCGCGCATGTGACACAGGTTCAGCGGAGCAAAAGAGGTTAATGTGGGGGCCTAGATAATTAATTACCTATACTATCGCGGGGGCTTCTTTATTATGCTTATTGCATAATATACCCCCCAAAACCCTATTCTAACTATTAAAGCCCCCAATATTATGCATGAGGGAGCTGAGCAGAAGCTCTGACACGGCTGTCCCACATGGGCCGAGCGTCAGTGACACGTTTCTCTTGGCTCTGTCACAGGTCCTTCGGTATGCCGTGCCAGGTTTGGGGCTGGAGGTAGTTCCTTCTAGGTTCATCGGTATGACTCAGGAAGCCTTGATCGGATGGTTGCCGAGCCATCGAGGCAAAGTTGCACCGGGGCTTTTAACTAGTTGTGCCCATTGTCGCCCGACTTTCGTCGCTGTGGTCGAGACCCTGCGGCATGGAAATGTGGCGATGGGTCCAGAACTGCCCGGCTGTCCACCTGGTCAGCCGCCGAATCGCGACATCCATGCCGGGCTTCCCGAACGGCCTCATGCTCCGGGACCCGAAAGATTTAGGCAATTTTACTCGCTCTCTCTCTCTCTCTCTCTCTCTCTCTCTCTGTCTCCCTCCCTGGCTATCACCAAGTTACACCAAATAGTTCATGGTATGTTGCGTAAGGTTAGTCCCTGCATTTGGAAGGATTGACAGGGCCGCTTGCATGAAAGTGCCCCGCAAGTCTGTGGTAGCCATTCCGGTCTAAGTCGACTGGTTACCTGAGGCCGCAGGCCACGGCTCTTGTTCTTGAGGTTGTGGGCTTTTTAATTAGCGTAGCTGGTCTTGCATTCAGGGTTTCGCCCCGAGGCTCCATGACGTCGCCATCACCCGGAGCCGGCTACGGGGGCGCTCGGAAGACTTACTCTTTGCCGAGGATCCCGTGCTTCTGCGCCGCTTAAGGCGTGGCTTCCTGGTCGCCCAAAGGAACGAAACTTTTCTGCCAGCTCACATGTCAGTGCACGAGTCGACTCCTGATGTATGCACAAAGAAGCCCTTGCAGAGCGTGCCCCTCACTGAGCCAGACACCGAGGCTTAAGCTTCATCGAGTCGGCGGGCCTTGGTGGTGATGCCACCCTCGTCCGGCGCGGACTGCCCAAGTTCTTCGATTTCGATGCTCAGGCCATGAACTAAAACCGTCCACACCCCGGAGTCGGAGCCCTTGAACCCCTGACGATACACGAAGCAGACACCTTAAAAGAGCAGGGCTTTCAGGGTTTAGCGCTTTCTTACGTTTAGGGGCTTCGTCATCTTCGTCTTCAGCTCCCTTGAAATCCTGGCCCAGGCAATGTCCGACAATGCTGATAGTGATTCTTTCTCGCAGAAGGTGTCTCGATCTCTGGTGGGCTCTGTCAAGGAAGCCATCTCCAGCGGCTCGATCATCGAGCCTTGCCATCCCTCAGCAGCAGTCTAGAGACTTTCGTGCATTGCATACGCCAACCAAGCCTTGAATCGAGAAGAATCGACATCAGCACCAAGCTTTTCAACCCTGATGCTCAATGCGAACTACCTACCCTACACCCTAGACTCATAAACCCTAAAAGCCTTAAGCCTTAACGTGCAACCGTCCTGGACCATCCTAGCCTAAAGCCCGAAACTACAGACTACCAACCCTTAAACCCGAAGCCAAAGCCTCTAAAGCCTACACGCCCCACACGCCCCCAGTCAAGCTACATCCTAGACTGCCTTAGGTCCCAAACAACCGAAGCCCGAAATCCTAAGCCCAGTAAGCCTCACACCCCAAGCCCGAAAGCTCTACACTGTAACTTAGCCGTGCCCCTGGAGCTCGGAGATCGGAGGAGCTGAGCCGACTGGACAAAGCAAATGGTGAGAACGCGCAGGCGGAGCTCATGGCATAGGATTCTGCGTCATAGGGATTTAGACTTTGTTTGGCATTGAGGAGTTTACGATAGAGATAGGGTTCAAGGTTTGAGCCTTTAGATTAGCTAAGGTTGTTTACGGGGCTTCGAAAAGGACATGTTTTCCTGGGAGTGTTCTTGCGGGATGCGGGGCTTGCAATGCCGTAACAAGCACTCGGAAAGGGACTGTCCAAGGTGTCCTACTTCACTGGAACCGGGCAATGGGTGCTCTGCTCGAAAAATGTATCGCTGCTTGCGGCTAATGCCAGCGAAATCGAGCTGCCACAATGGTCAGACCGTCGCTACCGTTTTGCCCGGCATGTGGCAGAGCTGTGGTTTGCGCAGCTGTCTGTTCTGCCGGAAGCATCTCGCAAGCTTCTCGAAGAGATGCTTGCTTCCCGAACTTTAGTGGGCGAGATGATTGGAGGAAGTGGCGCTCACTTGGTGGACTATGGGGCCTTGCGCCGACTGCAGTGGTTTGCAATCGTGCCAAACTATGGAGACGAGCTTTGTTGGCCTCCCTCCAGCAGCATCGCCTTCCTTCAGCAGACTGGACTGCCCACAGTAACTTTGAAGATCGTCGGTCCAGGTCCTTTCAAATCTGTTGACGAGACCCTGTCTGCCCTGCAAGAAACTGTCCTGTCTACAGAGAAGAGCAAACTGCAAGATGTGGGAGAAGGCTATGTGATGTACTTAACATCCAAGTCTCACAAAGATGACACAGGACAGGTTGTCAACTTGGCGAAGATGAAGTCGGCCGACTATCGACTGTTGCGGCGCATGCGAGAGAGAGCCAAGCTTTTCGCTCAACGGGCAGGATCCATGCTAGTGGACGATGCTGTGGAGGAGTACAGGCGCCTGGGGCTTTCTGAGTACGATCTGTTCTACTAATTCTACCAACGTGTACCGGCGGGCTTAGTAGAATCAGTAGAAGATGCACGCCGAGCAGGAAAGAGGCATCATCTGCTGGGCTGAGTCCTGACATCATCAACCAGAGAGCAGACTCCCTGGCAAGGCTCTGCCGAATGATCTTTACTGAGGACTTGGCCTGGAAAGGTTTTGGGGTTAAGGGTCTACTCGCTGACTTCCCACATGCTCAAGGCAAGTCCAAGACCAGGGAGTGTGGCTTCGATTTCTAGCTTCACTGCCGAATCCTGCAGTAGGGAGCGAGGACCTGCCGCCGGAAGTGGTGGACGAGCAATTTTTGCAGCTGCTCCAGCGCGCCGAGAGCTTTGAGGGAACGCGTGCTCCCGGGAGGCTCAGCAAGAGACTCATTCAATGAGCTGTTTGTCTGCTGTGTACAGAAGCAGAGTTCGAACCCGCTCAGCCCATTCCTTGGAGTGCAGAAGTATGAGCTGAAGATTCTCACTGCACCAGCTAGACTTTACCCCCTGCAGTTCCTGCCGACATAAACAAAAGTACAGTTGTTCGACGCGGTGATAGTCATCATCAGAACCATCGTCGGTATCAAGATCGTCGCGCATAATGACTTTGCAGTCGTAATAACCATGAGAAGAGAATAATGGAGATGGGCAGCCTCCATGGTCATATCTCGATGTATACTCGCAGCAAGACCAACTGACACCGATCCCTCAAGCAGGGCCGCTCCAATTCTTTGCGTCATCGCACCGCCTGGGCAGATGACAACCACGACGTGGAAAGGTTTGCAGGACTGAACTTTGACATGTAGGAGCTTGTCAGACTGCGTTGGGATGTAGGGCTTCGGACTTTACATGTCAGAGAATGTTGAACAGGGCTTTCACATGACCACTAGGATCAGCAGGGCTTACGAGTTGTGCAGGTCTTGCTGGTCTGTAGCCCAAAGACGCACGAGGGTGTTTGTGTCTATTTTTTGCTGGTCCCAGCCCCAGAAAGCCCGAGGACTTGGTCCAAAGCACCTCGCTTCGGCTGGAAGAGTTTTCGTTTTCAGGCCTGAGCAGGGGATCCAGGGTTTGGGGTTGAAGGCTTGTATCAGATTGTTTGGAGCCCTTGTGACGAATTCCCTGGGAAGCTGACCGAGGTGAGAAGGAAGGATTGACAGCTGGTTCAGAGCTGGCACAGTCTCCAGAGGCCTTGCAGAAGGGCGCCTCGATCATGGAAGGGCAAATGCTTCCCACGCCTAAGGATGTCTTAAAGCTTCTACACACAGCGCCTTGCATCGATCCGGCCGACGGCACTGGGGATTGTTCGTTAAGTTCGGGCAGTACCGAACATAGGCTTCCCACTCAACTCACATACGAGCTTTACCCCATTGCTCCAGGAGTACAGGGTCTGCGTTCTGGGTTTTAGTGTCGACGGGCAGCCAAGGAAATTTGAGCACTGCCTGGCACGACTCCACGGCTTCGCGGAAGCGGTCCTTCCTCAATGTCAATCCGCAGGAACTGGAGAAGCTCTTTTTCCCTGCGAACCATGGATTGCAGTTTGGGGGCCTAAACACAAAGGCCTGAAATCCACACCTCCTAACCTGCAAATCCTAGAAGCTTCTATAGCACAGTCTGGCTACTTCATGAAAGCAAAACCCGGGGACTCTTGCGTGTTAGCCGCAGAAGACCCCCGAACTTGTGCAAGAAACTCAAAATCTTATCCCTGATGGCTCTTCAAAAGCAGGGATCTTAAGGGGTAGCGTGCCCTCGCCTATAGTTTCTATAGCAAGCTCCCATCACGGAAGGAAGCTCAAAGGGAACTCGAGAGCCTATGCTCCATGGGGATGTAGACCCAGGAAGATGAGGATACAACATGGGGCCTCGCCCGCGAGCCCAAACGTGTAAAAGACAGAACTTGGAAAACCCAACGAGCTTAGGCTATGCCATGTTATACGTCGGGAGGTATGATTTTGGGCGTTCGGGGTGTTCCAGTTTGGGGTCCGGGGTTTGAAGAGTGTAAGGTCGAGAGTTCAGGGCCTAGACAGGTCATAAGCTTCTCGTCAAACCGAAGTTCCGGCAGGTTGAGGGATTGGGGTTTAGTTTACAGTAGAAGCCCAAAAGTTGGAAACCCCATTGCCTCAATCCTTAAGAGATCTTAAGAGTATTGTATAGGGAATCCCAACACTATTTGGCCTTGATCCGGTTTCCAACTTTCTGGGGTTTACTGTAGGGTCGTTGACCGGCAGAGTCTGGGTTCAATCAAAAGGATCGGTCGTCTCATAGCTGGGAGAGCTGCAAGACTAGACCCCCAAAAGCCTTCAGCCCACTTTCGTTTATGGCTTCCAGCACCTGGTAAATATTCTTCCATGGTCGAATTTAACCCTCGACCCTATGCTGACCCTTAGCCACTAGATCCCAAGAAAGTTGAAGCCCAAACCCTCACCATCAAAGTACTTCTAGTTATAGTATAATGTTCCCCAAAGCTTTATTCTAATTATTAAGGCCCCTGCAGTATAGAACCCGACAATAGATCCCTGAAAGATCCCCTTTAAGGAACCCTTTACAAGGAACCCTATTCTAATTATTCAGGCCCCTATAGTATATCCCCTAAACCCTAAACCCTAAACCCTAAACCCAACCCCCAAGGAGATGCATGGAGGAGGCTCCCCGAAAGCGCAGACGCTCTGAGGATGCCTTGGAGGAGAAGCAGCAGCAAGCTTCGACCCGGCTAGCCGAACGGATGAAATGTACTGTAAGATTTTTACGTGTAGAAATCAGTTCTGAGGTATTAGGAAGCAATCGGAATTACGATTTGGAAAAAGGGTTGTAGAGCTTGGGGTGACGGGTTTAGAGGTTGCAGGGTTGCAGGGGCATGGGCATCGCAGCTTTGCCACCGGAGGATTCGGGGTCCGCTGGAAAGTCGTTTGGTCTAGGGCTTCAGTAGTGGTCGCAGCCAAGGCGTCTTCGCTAAGAAAGAGATGCCGTTTCCTTTTCTGGGGCTGGTCTGACGTGCAACAAGACTGCCCAGGCTGGAGCTTGGCAAAATTTAGGGGTGCGTTCTACACGTTTTCCTAAGCCCGTAGAGTCTTGCAGAGAGCTTTTGCTCAGCGACATCCACCCTTAAGCCCTCAAAGCGTCGTCAACCCGGTTAGATCCCTAAACCGTAAGCCGTGAGTCTTCGAGCTTCTAGTCCTGTACCGTCAAGACCTGCAGCCCTACCTTGCCCACCGCCGCCTCCGCACCCCTTCAGGTCAGGAACCTGACCTGGTACCTGCGCGTGCCACCCGCTTCGAGTCTCGCATGCTGGAGCGGCTGAAGCCACGTAGGCCACAGGTCAGGGGCTTGGTCCGAAATCGCGTGGGGTCAGATAGGGTTTCAAGAGCAGTTTCATTTGTTGTTCCTTAAGGCTGCCTCCCGGAGCTACTACGAGTAGCACAAGATGCCCTCCCCCAATCAGGCTTAACGTTTTGGCGCTTGATATTGGGTTGCAGTTTTTGATAATTTTTACATGCAGCATTTCGAGGTGTGATGATAGCTGTTGTTTGTGGCCAACCCAGAGGCAGCGTAAATGTCACACGATAGAGCTTCAATGATCAATGGCAGCACTCCTTGTCGTCGTCCCTCCAGAATTCGACTATGTAGCCTTCAGCCCGGTTCCTCGTTCGGAGGCTACCTAGAGGCTCCAAAATAGCTCCTTTTTTGGCTTTCCTTCTAGGATCCTTAATATACATTTGGTTAAACCAAAAAACGAACTACAATGGAGACTGTTGGTAAGACTCGAAGTCTTCGGACCCTGTGCTTGCGTCAGCCCTTGAGGTTTTGAGCAAGCTTCGGTCCCAAGCCCAACGCCTTTGGACGCTCCTGCCAGCGTCCCAGACATGCTGGTTGCCTACGCTGCCTCACTTGACACAGGCGGGCGAGCTCTGTTTCGCATTTGGGGTTTCAGAAAACTAGAGGTACCCTTCTCCGGGGTCCTGATAATAAGGATCGCACTGTCGGAGGTTCAACATTATGGAGGCGACTACTGTCGAAATTCCCATTTGGGGCTCAGAGTTGGGGATGTGTTTTGGGGGTTCTCCACCTTTCCTGACAGAGGCACGAGCTCTGTCCACGATGGTTGGCAGTTTTGGCACGCCAGCGAAGAAGGAGAGCGCCGAGCTTGAATCTGACCCGAGCTCTAAGACACCCGGGGCCGGGTCGACTGTCATCGTCGTCATCCCTTTAGGTTTGCCAGGGATGGGAAAGAGTTCTCTGCTGGAGCGCCTTTTTCACATGGGCCAGCAGGCTGCTGTGAAAGCATACCGGCAAGGGAAGCTCGAGAAGCCTGGTGACGGAGGAGGGCAGCCACTCAAGAACTTGCACTCCGTTGCCACGCTTTCCAGCGACGAGTTCACGGGCGACGAGCTGAAGATGCTGGGAATCTCGACATCGCAAGCTGGGGGTGGGGGGCTGCAATGCAACAGGCCGAAGTATGGCGCAGCGTGTTTTCTAGTTGGACTAGTCACTAGTCTTTCTGGACCCTAGGCATGGATGCTACAACAAGAACCTCTCAAGACGTGGTACGCTGCCGTCGACTGGCCGCCGGGCAGTACCGGAGAGCAATTGAGGATTTCTTCGAGGAAGCGGCAGCTGCTGAAACTGAGAAGTTGCACTTGCTCCTGTTGGATAAGAACCATCCGCCTTCCGCATTGCGCCGCGAAGCGGAAGTCTTGCAAGAACTAAGCACGAAAGTTGGGTGCCGCCTTTGCCTCAAGGCTCTCGCGATACAGCCAACTGCAGAGCAGCCCTCGGCGCTTTCGAGCGGTCTATTGGAAGAGGAAGAGAAGCACTTTGGGCCATGGGCATACCCCTGGAGCCCAACCGTTCTCGCAGAGTGCGCAAGCCGCTTGCTGCTCCGATCATCACACGATACGCTTTCAGGGAATGAGACATCCTTGTTTGTTCTCCTCAGTTTTCTTCGGCTGCACCACCGTCTGTCCCAGCTGACTGACCTCGGCGACAGCTCGATTGAGGCGAGCCACTGAAGAATCAGAGCGTACCTGCACGCATTTGTCCCCTAAAGCGTGCAGGTTCGCGCAAGCTTATTCACTGCAGAACATACCCTGATTTCCGAAACCCCTGAAGCACATGTCCGAGTGTGAGCGCCGAAATCTGTGCTTGAAGGTGGTTGAGGCACCCTACATCAGCACTGGGACGCTCGCCTCCTGGCAGGGTCATGGCGATGCTCATCCATGGCATCAGCTCGAGCTCCGGGCTCTGTTTCACCAGGCCCTTCTGGTGATGCAAAAGCCCTTTGCCAACGAGGACCCCCCCAGCCCAGATGCACCTCAAAAGCCCTAATCGAAGCTCCGAAGGGACAAACCTTCAGCCCCAGCCAAGTCCCTTAAAGTGCCCTTAAGCACATGTAAGGCAAGAGCTCGAGCCCAATACCTTAACCCTGATTTGTTATTTGGAGTTGAACTTCGCAACCTTCAATTTATCAGGAGTCTGTGCGCCCGCTGCTCTCTGCGATTGCAAGGCTGCTTTTAGCATCTGGTCTTCGCAGCCCGGATGCCGGGAGTCTAGGCCTGCACTTATCTTATCTCAGGAGATAGAAAGGTGTTCAGCTTTGGCAGTTGAAAGCCACAACATTGCTGGAGACATAGCCTGCGGTAGGCCGCTGTGCTGTTGCTTCTTTGCGGCGCCTTCTTGGTGAGGATATGGCCCCCAACCCTAAACACCAAGGCCCCGTGTGCCGAGCCTTAACATGGAATAGGCTCCTCTACAACCAAAAGACACCGCATTTTCCTACAATCACATGTGGAACCTTAAACATGCTGCATGAAGCTCCACAGAACCTGTAGGGCGGCTCAGGAGTCAGTCGCTCCATGCCCGCGAGTGTGCCGAAAATCTTTGGCCCAGTCTCCTTCAACCGCCGGCAGTGTCGGAGTCCGCGGAGCAGCTTGGCTGACTTGATACTTGTTGCAAGGATGACAGCAGGGTTGATGTTCGAGGGGCCAACAGTAAGAATGCCGAATAGTCATCGTGATCAGGACCTTCAGCATCACGTCTGAATCGTCAGGTCATTGCTAAAAGGGACATTTGGAGCTGCCGCTCACACGGTATATCTTCCCGAACAGCATGGGCCCGGCGACATCGAATTATCTTGCACGTGTTCTTATCCGACGGGAGGGCGTGTAGTGATGAACAGAAGAAGAAGCATTGCACAGGCACAGCAGGAGGAGGTCTTAGCACGCGAGCAGTTCAGTAATAGCTGCAGGATTGGTGCCAGCAGCTGCAGTCGCATAGTGATAGTGCGAATAGGGACATACCCTTAGTATATGTGGCAAGAACGGTCCTCTCTGCTTTGTGGCTTGTTTTGCAGTTGTGTTGAACCGCTAGCACTCGTGCCTCAGGTTTGGCAAGCACATGGTGGAGTCAAGTTGCGGATCTAGGAGTTGGGGTTTTCAGGGTTGAGGGTGAGCAGCTGCATGTAGCCTTCCGAACACATGTTTTCGTAGTGGTTTAACAGCAGGCGTGTGGGTACATATGTGTGTGTGTGGGCGTTGTAGGTAGATGCATTATACATATGTGCAAGCATCTTCTAGAGTCGAACTCCGACAAATGTTGTTCGATTGCTACTTGGCAAGCGTACTCGTGTTCAAGCCAGGAGCCTCAACTAGCTTATAAATGCATGCGAAGAGGACCCATTGGTACGCCGGAGACCAAGAACCAGGTAACTCCAAGGCTCCGCAGTAACCCGAACTGTCCTCGGGCCGTACTGCGTTTTGAAGCTACTCAGCTGCTGGTTAGGGCCATCCTCAAACCCCGAGCAGAAAGAAGAAGTTGGTGCGAACCCACCACAACCCAGATAGACTTTGACTGCAGGAGCCCAGCACCACCTGTGAACCGTGAACGTCCCCAACAAGGCACTCAAACTTCCAACAACCGACACTCAACCGAACCCTCACCTTCAGCAAATACAGTGATGCACCCGACCACCAGAAATCATGCCAGGCTGAATTCAGGTTTGTTGGCTCCGGTTATTGGATCCAACCGACATCCTAAGTCCCAAGCTACAAGGCCCTGAAGCCCGCAGTCGGTCCAGGCCTGACGTGATCCCTGCTGTCCGGTACGTGGCGCTGGAAGTGGAGCCTCACCATCGGACTTTGGAGGCTTGGGTTTGCAAAATAGGGGTCTGAGTCCTTACTGAATAGTAGACCGGTATACGTATAGTTTGTTCTGACCCTTCAGCCGTCTAGCTAGTAGACTCTAGTGGATAAGGCCCCTCTTTTTCTGGCTTTAGGTTTGGGGAAGGCTGGGCGTGGGATTGAGTACAGACAGAGGTGTCCCTCCAGCGGCTGTCAGATGCCATGCGCATCCTCTCGGATCCCTCTGAAGAGGCGGATGCATTCCCCGCCCAGTTGCCCCTCGGACCTGGAGCAAAGGGTTGAGTTTGGCAGCTCGGGGTTTGAGGGCTTGCATGTGCGGCGCAGAGTGTAGGGCGTGTAAAGAGTAGGTCATAGTGTCCGTAGGATGTGGGTTTCAGGATTATGGTTCAGGCGTAAGCTGAGATTTGTTGTATCAGGCTTGCAAGGTATTTGCATTTTCGGTGCATTTCCAGCTCTGCGGATCAAAAGCTCGGTGCTCAAGGCTAGAGGCTTACCGTCGGGGATCTGAATCTCCCTATCCACCCGGAATTGGTCGGACATAAAGCCAGGAGGAGTGGAAAAGGTTGTCTACGGGAGACTGTACTTTGAACCCACCTTTTAGACTCAATGCACGAGTCGTACCGGGTCCTGAGTTACAAAGACGAAAGGGGAAGGCTGCTGAATCCAAGGTTAGCATCAAGAACTCTTCGGAATCACCTGAAAGCAAGAGACCAAACTAAGGTTCACGTGGCCGCAGACCCTGCATGTCACTACCTGCTACGTGGGCGGCGGTGCACTTCCAGAGAAGCAGAGGGAGATCCTCACCAAGTCCAAGCACTTGCTCCTAGCCTTGGTCCTTGGTGGTGTCTGCATGGATTTGGGAGTTTCCAAAAATTAGGGGTACCTTATTAGGGCTCCTTATAATAAGGACCTATATTAGGGTCCCCTTTTTTCGGAAACTCCCATTTCGCCCGTAGCTAGGGGTTGTAGCTTGTAGTGCTTTGTTAGGTGTTCGAATTCCGACATTGATTTTCAGATCCGGTGCCGTCAAGTTTAATCAGACCATAAGCCCCGAAACATGCCGACGACTTCGAAGATCCGGGCTTAGTGGAACCTCATGCGCTGCCCCTGCCCTATGTCTGGCGAACCCAGCATCCTTTGGAGCAAACAAAAACGGGAGGGGAGCGGAGCGAAGGCTGCAGGAATTCCTGAAGTTCAAACATTTAAGGGTAAGCTTCCGGGACGGGGGGGGGGGCGGGTTTTCTGGCTTGGCTTTTGTTTGTGCGGAGTGTAATACCGATCCGAGGCTTTTGAAGCCCCAAACTTGGCTCCAGGTTTTGGGAGGCTGCTGCCTTTGACTGCCTTGTGACACATCTCGTGGGGGCTCGAGGCCGGCGGTAGGTACCATGCAACGACGAAGGTTGAGCTGCGAGAGACGCCTGACCCATGCCTTACAGTTTTATGGATCATCATGGTCGCTATCGCAATGGCACCGTATAAACTCGAGAGGTTACCACAATTCCAGTACAAAAGTTTCAGAAGTATCCGTTGAAAACATCTGAAGTCTTCCCTATTTAAAGGGTTGGGTGCAAGGGTTTACAGCTGTGCGGGTGGGAAAAAAGGGTTTGGCATGTGGTTGCCGGTAATACCGTAGATCTATCTGTCAGACCCCCGAACCCAAAACGAAGCGTACACCCTACGGAAGCCCCAACCCCAAGACCCTAATTGCCGACTTCGAGTAAATTCTAGCCCTAAGCCCTAACCCTTCTGCTCCTGGATTCTAAACCCATTCTGACCCCTAAAACCAAACTCGCGGAGGTGCGCTGGCTTTTGCAGTGGTGGACGAGCAAAGGCCTGGAGGATGCCTTTCTTCGGTATAGTAATATACATTCTAAAAAACTAGACATGTTTCGTTTCTACAGTCGGACTGAAGACTACCCGGCTGCAGGATGTAGGGTGCTAGTGGAGGGCCTGCTGCAGGTTTTGGGTTCAGAGGTTTCCGGCCTGGGATTTCCAGGTTCGGTTCGGTTTAGGCTTTAGGATTTCCGGGTTCGGTTTAAGTTTTAGGAGGTCGTGGGTAAAGAGTCTGTGCAAAAAAGGAGCTAAAGGGCTTGGGAACATCGGGTCCTTGCAGACTGCATAGCCTTGCATCACCACCTCCCCAGCTTTGGGTGGAAGCCTTGCGACACCGAATGCGCCCCAAAGGCTGCGAGACTCTGGCTTGCCAATCGCGGATGCCCAGAGGTGGGCTCCCAAGCGCCAGAAGTCGTGTTTGCAGCCTCGGCTTCAAAGTCCAAAGCAGGAGGGAAAAAGTCCAGACGACCCCGTCCCGGTGCTAGCGAGATCAGCAACAGGTTGTGCTAAGTGGGGAAAGCATTCTTATTGGACGGGGCTGCGTGTCAAAGTAGTATGGTTATCATGCTGCTAGGTACCCCCCCCCCGCTCCCCAGTTGTGCAATTGCAGACAAAGTTTAACGGTCATCTGGGGGTTTCCGAAAACAGGGGACCCTAATATAGTACCCTAATTAGTAGGATCCTTACTATAAGGAGCCCCAAAATAAGGTACCCCTAGTTTTCGGAAACCCTCATCTGGAGCCATTGGAGACCAGCGACTATGAGGCCGCACATTACACTGTGCACACGGCAACCATGGCAACCTCGCCATTCGAACGACGTGCTCAAGGCTGGGCAACTGATTTGGGTCCAAAACACGTATCATCCTGACCCTGCAGTCCAAAGGAAGTCATGGCACAATGCTGACGGAGGAGTCGGGATTCAGTGTTTAGAGTTTGCCCCCGTGTCATAATGTTGCCATTGGCATAGCTTCAAACCCCCCACTTCTTAAAGCGAGAGACCATTCCCGCTGCAGAGCGTCTCGGTTGAAGGTTTCGGCAATGGGCTTTCAGTCTCAACTTTGAGAGTCCATCACTACGCTTGAAGCTTGAATGCAACCGAAAGGCTGCGACGCCTTTCCTTGAAGACAGTGTCGGCGCCGGGGCCTTGCCAGTGCTGCCGGGGAGAATGATCAGAAGTCGAAAGGTACTAGAGTTGCACGTAGCCTGCATTGTCGCAGTGCATGAAACAGAAACATTTTCCAAATTTGTCACGCAGTAAGTTTTTAGTAATGACTACACCATGAAGGTTATACATCTATGGAACAGAGATGAACAGAGTACATTCAGCCAGTCCGAGCATGCGCTCGAACACACATACACACTTTAATCGTAACTCTTCGATAAGAGCAGCGCGTGGCTACATAAAAGAATGTATCATAGACTGTGATAGCACTGGTACACGTTCACACGTCAGGTATGAACGAAGTATGACTCATTATGACAAGCATAACTGCTAGAGGCTGATGGATGCATGGATGCACCTTGCACATATTCAATAACGAACACTAAAGGGGCGTTTCCAGTTGCCTAAGCAGCTGCCGATACACGCAATGCCATCACGAAAGCACCGTCACACAGTTGTGTAAGAAAGAGCTGTAGATATTGGCCATGTTACTTTGTGGTATAAAGCGGTACAACTAGACCCTCAGGGCGCATCTCAAAACGTGCAGCACGCAAGGCATACATTTTCGGTTCAAAGGAATGTTGGCTTCCTCCGTACAGAGTAAGATGGCTTCCGAGGCCGGCAACTGGGTGGCCTTCACTCTGGCGCCCCAAATCTCAAAACCCGTGACTGCCCAAAGCAGTGTTTCTTTCTCGCAAAATCGCAAGTAAGAAAATCAGTTCCGAGAGTTGCGATCACGGTCGCAACAGCTGTTGTGCAAGGCGCTCTCTCACATGTACGAACCACAGCTGCCAAAACCGGGTGATACTTGAGTTTTAAGCCGCTGCTGAGGTTTGTGCCTCCGGCAAGTGGAGATCCCAGAGCCAAGTGGGGCTAGCGGGGCTTTAGCGGCTCTGTGCTTGGAGCCGCGAAAGCTTAGCTGTAAAGTGTCGGAAATTCGAGACAAGGTTACCAACGAATTTGCCAAGGCACTGCATTCAGGCTTTGGCATCGGGGCTGCTCGAGGTGCAGCACGGCTTTGTGTGGAGTAGGCGGGGTTGAGGCTATGCATTCAGCGTAAAGAATCAATGACGGTGGCAGGGCAACCGAGTGAAACGAAAGAACGGTAAACGCAGAGCCACACATACCCTGATGTTGCATTCAAATTCGCGTGCCCTGCTTCGCGCACTCTGTGTAGGCATGGTCAGGAATTCCGCTTGAATAGCAGAAGGCCCGTTGTTGAGCCACAAGCATTGGAGAGTGTGAGAATGTCTCAAAACAGATGGCCCCTGTACCTGAGGTGGATACGGAACTTGGCAGTTGGCACTGCGGCCAATGCCTGAGCAATGAAGGCTGCCGATCCTTTGAGACACCACCGAGGACATTGTTGGATTGGGGAGATACGGTCAGCTTGTAAGCTGGGTGTTTTTCGCCGAAGGGCCGGGGCTAAGGACAGAGATGGTTTTGGTGCATGCACATTGGGTTGTGCCATCGGGAGATGGTGTAACAGAGATCACTGCGTTTTTTCTATGGTGGTTGCTGAAATTCTACAACTTTGCTTTTGCGCCCGTTAAACGCCAGAGACAACCGTAAGGTCTTGGACGTCTTTGTGCTCAAACTGGAGAACCCGGTCCTGCTTTCATCCAACGCTGTGTCCTCTTGGCTTGGTTAACTTGCGTTAAGAATTCGATTTATGGTTTGAGACGGAGATAGAAGGTGGAAGCATCGACAAGAATTTGCAGGCCGACCCCGCTTGGTGAAGCATGTTCATGCACTGAAGCGGAAGTGTGAAACAAGTGAATAGAGGCTCATTTCAGATGGTGTTATAATATATGACGCACACCACCCATCAAACATGTAAGATACGTCCCTACACACCGACAGGAAGTTGTGCTGATGACTCCTCGTGTTACTCGAAGATCCAATGTCGCCTAGGCAGAAAAGAGACACTAAATTTGATAGAGTGATTTGGCCACGATCATGACACGACCTATTTAGAAGGGTCTTGTAAGTTGCAGAATAACATTCGAATGTATAAACGTCCGGTTGAAGTCCTGATACCGAACGCATTCAGAAACGAATATGACAGAAACCCCGTTTATGATATCAGTATTTGTCGACAAAATCAAACTAGAAAAATCGAAACGATTGCTTAGTCTTTAATTGGTACATGGATAGGGTTCTTTTTTGGTCATTATTTTGTTAATTTTCTTGAAATACTACCAATTTATAGATTCACTGTATATTTCGAAGTCTAATATAGAGGATTGAAATTGATAAAGAATATTAACAGATTAAGATGGAGCTCCTATTTTTCTATGAAAACGAAATTCACAAAGCGTAATTAATCTTTCGTTTCTATTACGTCAGTAGAGAATCTGGATAGTATTAAAAGTCCGCATTTCTCTGATGATTCAATAAAAAGCCTCCCCCGCGCCGGTTCGGCGGGATATTGGGTTGCTAATGATGGCCAGCAATCGTATGGTCATTCCGGTCAGATTTGGAGGTAAGGTCGTTATTAATTAGGTTCGCTGTAGTGGCATCAATCTGTTCTTCTCCTATTTTTCGAGTTTCCTTCCGCTATCGACGTCTAGGAATCAGTCTATTCCGCCGCTTCCGAGTGCTTATTCTCTTCCTCTTGT